AAGACGTACTTAGTTAGTTAATTAAGTACTACTTATAGTAGTTGGTTCGTTAGTGTTGTTATTACTACTCTCTACTCTATATATCTCTATGTGGTCGTCTGTCTCTCTCTCTCTCTCTCTCTCTCTCTCTCTCTCTCTCTCTCACAACAAAGCTGACTTGAGAAACAAGGTGAATTGGTCATGTCTCTTTCCCTCTTTTTCAAGTTCTCCATGCACCTATATGTCGTAGCAATTTTCAGGAATTCTACATTTAGGTTTGGACAACACGAGTAATCTTAAAGGCATCTGCTTGGAGGTTTTTGGGCTCAATTTGTAAGGCTTTCACAATTGTCACAATATGTTCCTAGTTCGTATATGGATATGATGAAGCAACCGAAAAAGGAAAACAAGGAAAGATGCAGTTTATTCTACAGATCCAAATAAGGAAAATGGTTTGATAGAGCTGTAGCTCTATCAAAATAAGTAAAGCTTTTCCTCATAACTCAGAAAATTGAAATTTGAGTATTGGAAAACCTTTTAAATCGATCATCTCGGCTTGAACATTATGGTTGTGAAAAAAAAAGGATGTGAACTCTAAAAATAGTGTATATTTGAATAAATTATCTGCTGTCTATTTCACCCTAAAAATGAGTGTTTATAGGTTCTCAAAGTTGGTACATATTTAAGTCTCAAAATTTATTATTGGTATTAAAAATTGATTTTAGAGTCATTATAGATATTTCTGTTGGATGAAGATTTGAGATGAGGTTTTATTTTATTTTCATAAAACCTAGGCCTTAGAGAAACTTCATCCTATAAATAATTTTTAGGTCTTTTTAACAGAAGGAATTCAATAATGTACTTAGATATGTACATGTATGGTATTTGGGTACTCGTACCCAGCGTCGTTCATCCATAATTATTTATGGGTGGAGTCAAGTAAGCTAGTTATAAAAGTTGGGTAATAACTGATCTGCTAAAAGGGTTAGAAGCTATAGAATTGAATAGCCTATCACCTAGTGTTATTTGATAAATGTGTATTGTTTGTTGTATGAGTTTGCTTGTTTCACATAGGTACCCATACCTGAAATTGAATAATTTCTTGTATTGAAAATAAGCATTTCGAGAAAAAGCCAAAAGCGACGTTTTAGTGCCTTCAGTGTTGAAGAGAGCCCCCTACTTTTAGTGCCTCGAAGTGATAAACAAAACTATCATAGTATTTTAGAACATGGGGCTTCTCATAATATTAATTTCTAGTTAAGAAGGTAATTCGATTATCATAAAAAGACATATATGGTTATCTTGAGAGAGAGTTTGACTACTCAACATATGCTCATGATGATGGATGTCTGCATTAAGACATGAATGAGAGAGTGAAATTAATAGGTGTCCAAGAACTAGGTGGTGAAATTTTAAAAAAGAGATAATAGACTTATTTAAAAATACAATGGTAAAAACAAGAAAACAATTCTGAGCATGAAATTAATATTATGTGGATCTTGATAGTATTAAGAAAGTGGTAAAAGAACTTTTAGGAGAATCTAGAGAAAAAGAAATTCTAATATGGAAATCTGGCCATGGGGTGATGATGTTTAAAGGCTATTAGTAAAAAAATGATCATGTTATAATGCTTGGCAATGTAATAGAAATAACCAAAATTTAGAATAATAAAAAAATACTAAGAAAATCTGGCCATGGGGTGATGATGTTTAAAAGGCTATTAGTAAAAAAACGATCATGTTATAATGCTTGGCAATGTAATACAAATAACCAAAATTTAGAATAATAAAAAAATACTAAGAAAATCTCTAAGATAATAGTGACGCTAAACTTAAGGCATATGATGATTTATGTAAAAAATGGGGATAAGAAAACAAGAAAAAGATGTATTCAAACTAGCAAAAATAAAACAGAGAAAGTGTGAAGATAGAGAACATATTAATGCATTAGGAGTGTATTTAGATGGTGTTGATGAAGGATGAAGAGGTCAACAAAAGGTGACATTTATTTTAAAAAATTGTTAAATGAGGAACACTTTGGGAGCATGACATTAGGAGAAACCTTCGACATAAATGAGGTCGCAGGTCGGAGATAGATTCGTAGGATTAGGATATTTGGAACATGACATTTGGAGAAACCTTTGACATAAATGAAGTTGGAGGTTGGAGATAGATTCACAGGATTATGATATTTGAAGTAAAAGAAGCTTTGAGAAGGATTAAGGTAGGAAAGGCTTTAGGATCAGATGATATCATGATAGAGGTTCAAAAGTATATGGGAGAGATTGGTATATTTTGGCTGACCAAGCTATTGAACAAGATATTAAAAATAAAGAAAATGTCAGACAAATGGAAAAAAAATACCATTATACCTATCTACCAGAACAAAGGAGATATAACATTGTATGAACTCTCGATGGCCCAAACTTATGAGCTACACTATGAAGATGTGTGTGAGAGAGAGAGAGAGAGAGAGAGAGAGAGAGAGAGAGAGAGAGAGAGAGAGAGAGAGAGTAGAGACGAACGTAATAAACGTAAAGTAACGTAAGTAACGTAAACGTAAACGTAAACGTAACGTAACGTAACGTTACGTTACGTTAGTACGTA